TTGTCTAAACAGGGACTGGTTTACCTCTTATCGATCTATTGATGGAGGGGAAGTTCTGATGGGGAATGATGCAGCGTGCAAGGTTGTAGGTATCGGTACAATTCGAATCAAGATGTATGATGACATAGTGAGAACACTGACTGATGTCAGGCATGTACCAGAACTGAGAAAGAATTTGATTTACCTTGGTATGCTGAATTCCATCGGGTGCACTTATAAGGCTGGAGGTGGAGTCATTCGGGTTTCCAAGGGTGCTCTTGTGGTGATGAAGGGACTGAAGAAGCATGATTTATATGCTCTGCAGGGTAGCATAATCACGGGTTTAGTTGTTGTATCGTTCTCGGATCCGGATTCAGATACTACCAGATTGTGGCATATGCGGATTGGGCATATGAGTGAGGGGGATGGATGTTCTGAGTGTTCAGGGTTTGCTTGGTGGTCAGAAAACTGGGAAACTAGATTTATGTGAGCATTGTGTCTTTGGGAAGTAGTGCAGAGTGAAGTTCAGTACAGGAATTCACAGGACCAAAGGTACGGTGGATTATATTCATTCTGATCTTTGGGGTCCCTCTTAGGTTACTTCACATGGTGGTGGTAGATATATAATGATGCTGATTGATGGCTTTTCTCGGAAAGTTTGGATTTAAATTCTGAAGCACAAGAATGAGGCTTTTGTTACATTCAAGCAGTGGAAAACCTTGATTGAGAAGCAGACAGGAAAACAGATTAAGCGCTTGAGGACAGACAATGGCTTGGAATTTTGTGATGGAGAATTTAATGAGTTCTACAAGACTCATGGGATTGTGAGACACCACACAGTGAGGAAGACTCCGCAGCAGAGTGGAGTTGCAGAACGGATGAACAAAATGCTATTGGAGAGGGCACGGTGTATGTTGTCTAATGCAGGGTTAGACAAAGCGTTTTGGGCTGAAGTTGTTTCTACAGCTAGTTACTTGGTGAACCGATCTCCATCGACTGCTATCAATTGTAAGACTCCAGAGACGGTATGGTCTGGTTCTCCTGCTAGTTACAATAATATGAGAATATTTGGGTGTCCAACGTATGCTCATGTGAATGAGGGGAAGCTTGAACCGAGGGCTAAGAAATGCATATTTCTTGGTTATTAGCTTGGGGTCAAGGGAGACAGATTATGGTGCCCAGTGGCTTCAGGAAAGAAGATACTTGTTAGCAGGGGTGTGACCTTTCATGAATCTGTAATGCTTACTCCGCAGAGGGAGGTAGTTGATTCAGGGAAAGCTCGGGGTGTCAGTGAGCAGGTGGAGCATGTAGAGGTTCAGTTAGAGGATAGTCCTGTTCGGTCGACTCACAAGCAGGTGCAATTTCGAGCTGTGAGGGAGATGCACAGTTGCAACAGTATAGTGTGGCTAGAGATAGGCCTAGGAGGGATTTTAGGCCACCTGAGAAGTATGGGTTTTCACATGCTGATTCGGTTGTTTATGCACTTAGTGTGGCAGAGTAGAGGATATTAATGAGCCGTGTACTTATCATAAGGCCATATCAACCTAGATGTAAAAAACGTATCAACCTAGATGTAAATCAAGGTTTATATAGATTTTCAAAGTCCTAGATATGCATAGGAAAGAGGTAAATTTCGTGCATAGGTCTTTTGGAAATAAACCCATACCAAATAGGAAATTTAGACAGAACAAGAAACTGATACCTAATCTGCAGAAGCATTCTGAACCGGTAGCCACTTCTGGAACCGATTAAGAGTGTCCAGAATAAAAAGGATTCAAAGTAGTGTTCTTGAACCGGTAAGATATGTTGGTACCGATTCCCAAATGACAGATTCAGATAAGAAGGTTTAAACAGTTGGAAAAATCTTTGTTTTGGAAACTCTAAAAAACTACCATATATGTAAAGTGTCCTAACCTTTAACTCAACTTCCTAAAGTATTGTTCATACCTTTTTTCGTAGGTCTCAGTTTATAAAACATGAACAACTTTTCAATTCCGTAGCCAATCTCGATCTTGAATTTGAAACTTGAAAATACAACTCGATCAGACTTGTTTTGACACCGAAATTAGCCAATTACAAAATATATATCTCACAAAAACATGTATCTGTATAAGGTGATGCCGATACCTTGGCCATCGAGTATTGCCGCTCCACCATCCCGGCCGCTGCCGACAGTGGAATCTCCTCACTGCCACCTTTTATCCCCTATCTCCAATGAACCCAGTGTTACGAGCATGTGTATATGAGGAGCAGTGAAGCAAACGAGAGAGCGAGAGGGAGGGTGTTTTAGAGAACGAGTAAAAATCATGTGTAGTTGTGTGTGTATATATATCTATGTGCATGCAATATATATTTATATATGCTCAAGGGGCATATATATATTTAAATACAAGCATGTGTATGCAATATATATTTAAATACAATATTGATTTATATACACAATATAAACTAATAAGGGTGTTATGTGCACAAAATGTGAACCATGGGGGTATTTTTTGTTCTTTCCCCTAGTTCAAATATAGTTACAGATTCACACTTATGAAACTTTGAATCTATATTGATATTATATTTTATGATTTTAAATCTAAATTAATTGAGTATTCTTGGTATTTAATGAAGTTTAGTATCATACAAACATTATATATATGCAAATGAAATATATAAATTCTTAACTACATATGTATAACATTTAATCATTTATTGGCAAAAAAAAAAAAAAAAAAAAAAACATTTAATCAACTTTGAATGCTTATCTGATCAAATCTGCTTAAATTCAAATATAGTCCAATTTGTGATCTTATAATTCGAATTTAAATTATTCCAAGCGAGGAATGTAGGCCAATTTTTGGAATTGGATCTTAATAAGTAAAAAATTCACCTTTGCTCATTGTAGTATAAGTCCTTTACATCTTTTTTAAATAATTTTTTTTTTTTTTTTTGTTACTTTTCTTTTGAACTTTTTGTGGCTTGAGTGACCTAGCTACCTGAATTGTTTTTCATTAATATATAGTACACCAAAATAGAATGAATATAAACATTGGAGATTGAATGACATTAGGAATCTCATTACTAGGTAACCCCTCCCTGGTAATAGAATTTCATTTCTGAGCTTCTATTCCTATCATCCAACTAACATCTTACTTAGGGTGGAATGTTGGAGAATGATTCTTCTTGTTAACCCCAAATGGCAATTGTTCTGGTGGCATTGACAAGGTGATGGTGATGGTGATGGTGAAGGGTCAAAGGGTAATTTGTTAAATCCATATGATTTAACAAATTGGATATTCATTATGAATTAAAGTAGAAATTCCTTTTTATTATTCTATTTTAAACCTTTTGGGTCGTCTTATCGTAATCCGTAAATCTAGGCATTGTTTGGGGTGGTGATAAAATTTTGGATGAATAGTGCAAAAATGATGTCAAGAACTAGGTCCGTCCCTGGTCTTCTCCTCTCAACACCTTTTCTAAGCACCCTGATTGTAATCTTTATGTATTGGGCAAACTACAATGACCTCCCCAGGTTTGGACTATATGCAGCTAAACCTGAGGTTTGCTATTTTTTTGCAAACACCTCCCCAAGTCAGATTTTGTTGTAAATTTACTTATCTACCCTCATTATTATATTACTAAAAATGTCAAAATATTTAAGTAAGTCAAATGACAATTTTGCCCTCTACACTTGCAACCCCACAATTTTCTCTCTTTTAAGTCAGATTTTGTTCTCTTTCCACCCACTCCATGGCCGCTGCAGCAACCACCACACCACCATCTCTCTTCTTCTCTCTACCTCCACAAATTGCTGCCAAATGCTGATCAACAATTATAGACTCCAAAAGAAACTTACTTGCAACGATGAATGCAACGAAATCACCCAATTCGATGAGGAGATACGAGAAAGACCCATATGTGATGGGAATGTAGATCGCAAATTCGGCGTAGCAAAATACAAATAGCACAGCGCAGAGAGGCAGAGGCGGCGTACGAGAGCAGCACAGAGAGGGTCCGACAGTTGTGAGCTTATTTTCCGGTGAGGTTGAAGATGCCGGAGCCAACGACGGAGGCGAAGCAAAGCCAGATTAGGCCCCACCAAGTAGTTGGCGCGTCATCTCTGTTTACCAGCCTGATCTATGATGTTCTTACATACAGGTGATGTAGAGGCCTTTAATTTTCAAGGGTGGAGGAACAAAAAAAATTCATATCTTCAGATTCAAATGCCTTAAAACTGACAGATTTGAATCAAGCTTAGAATTAAAAAAAGAAAGAAATTAATGGTGGTGGTGGCAGTGATTGTGGAGGAGGCAGTAGAGGTGATGCTGCTTGGTGGTGGTGGTAATGGTTATGGTGCTTAGTGGGTTTCAAACTTCATTAAGGTTTGTTTAATTTCCTACAAGTGGGGTTCCTTCAACTTCCTACCAGTGCGTATATATGTATATCTAAAGTTATATATATATATATATATATAGTTTAGGGAAAGTAATCTATTAAATTTGGGGTTACCACCAATACACTTGCCACCACCAACACCAACTCATTTTGAGATGAACATTGAATTTTCATACAATTGTAAAAGCTTAATTGAATCTTGTAAGGGTCCGGGTTTGGAAATGGCAATGGAGTTAGTGGTGGTGGTGGTGGGTGAATGGAGAGAGAAAGGAAAGGGAGAGAGAAAAGGTCAACTTTGTCTCTTAGAATATTTTTTTTTTGTAATTTAATAACATAATAAGGGTATTAGGGTCTTTTCTATTTATTTGAAGGGCATTTTGGTCCGTTCAACTAAATTTTCTGACAAAGAGTATCAATTTTTGTACGGAGGGGAAGTCTTTGCAAAATGAGGCAAACTTCAGGGGGACGCATTGCAAAAAATATGCAAACCTCAGGTTTACTTGCATTATGCCAAACCTCAGGGGAGGTCATTGTAGTTTGTCCTGTATTTTATACTTTGTCGTAAACTTGTCTGGGACTTCATTTCATTTTTGCCCGAAGTCCCCGATTAAAACAGTAAAGCATTCACGTTGATGCAGATTAAGCTTTATGACCATCGTCTCATCCAGAGAGGGGCTGTACAATCTTATGATGGGAATGTGAATTCCCATTCTCGTATACAGCTTGGTGTTGACCCATCCGAGAAATATTTTATGTCAGGTGCATACCTTTATAACATATTAATTTCTAAGTAATTTCTTAGATTTTTTAGCTTATGTACCAAAATATTTGCCCCTAGGTGGAGAAGACTGCTATATACGGCTTTGGAGTATCAAGTCTGGCAAACTTCTCTTTGAGGATAAATTTATGAACTCTGTCCCCTCAATTGTGTGCTGGCCAAGGACTGAAGGTAATGTCTACCACTTGCACTTTCATTCTATTGAATAAAATGCTTTTGATTTAAGTTCCTTTTTCCATTTAAAAGTTTTTATTCTTAACATGACAGGGCTTCTTGGAGTGCAAGATGAAAGGCAAGACTACAGAGATTATTTATATGGTCGAAACCATAGCTCGGGGGCATGGCTTGGATCTCTAGAAGGACTATTTTACATGTGTTGGACATGACTTAAGATTGATTACAAAGTATAAAATTAGTGTGAGGTATGTGATTGGTTGAGCACTTTCTCTAAATCAACTAGATATTCTCTGCACATGTCGTGAAGTGCATTGTTTGCTGTGTTAGGAGTACTGAAATGCTTCAGAGACTCCATAGTGGAAAGGACTTTGGTGGTGCATCTTCTTCGGTTCGTTGTAATGTGACAGAATGGTTTATGGAAGTTGGCTTCAAATTGAAGTGGGATAGAGGGATAGAGTGATAGACGCTGATGATTTTGACCTTGTTCAGGAGCTAGGATTCTGGACTGAAGCAGAGCTGCCAGTTGCTGTATTTGGGGTCTGTAGCTGGCTTTTAACTTCATGAGGTTTTTGTTCCTAGTTGATTGTATTTATCCTTTTAATGGTGTAAGAAATTTTCCAATTGAGTTAAAAAAAGTTTATGAGTTAAAAGTTATTTTGTGTTTTTCTAAGTTTTAAAAAGAAATGGCCTTATTTGCTTGAGTCTTTTCCATATGGAGAGAGAGAAATGGAAAGATATTATAAAAATACCTCTTCTCCTCATTTCCTTAGCTTCCCTCGTAGTTTAATAGAGTCGACCCCTCTTTTAGAAATGAACAATGGGTGTTAGTCCCATCTGGTTTATGCATTTAGGGAGCATACTATTCTTAATTAGTTAGTTTAACGTTACAAGTTAGAAATAGAATTTAGAATGGTATGGGTTGTTAACACCTTATTATTCTAGCGTTGTTCGGGTTAGAAATGACTTAAACGTGTATTTCGTGTCGTATCAAGTCTGGACTCATTTATTAAACAGGTTACGCATGTCGTGTCGTGTTATCTATGTAATAATTGTGTCGTGTTCGTATTAAGATTTATTAACACGATTAATAATCGTGTCGATCCATTTAACAAGATACCCATGTCCTGACACGAATTGCCACAACTACCTTAGGAGATGTACATATAAAAGGTCGAGGGTTGAAGCCCTCGGGACTATAGCATAATTCATCAAATTAATGCATGGCCATCATTAAATACAATTATAAAAGGTACTCAATGTTAGGATCAATAAACTATCAACTACATGTAGTCAATTTGAAGATTAATTAGAATAATATAGCAATACAAAGCTTGGTACAACCAAGTATGAATCCACAAGACTAAGCAACTTATACAACTTATAAATCCCCAAAAATGAAAGACAAGGGATGCAATTACACAAGCTTAGGGCTCATCCAAGCCCTAAGTGAAGATTTAGCCGGTCTTCAATTGCCATCCCTATGCTCAACTTCACTTTCTTCTTCAACCTTGAGAGCAAACCCTAGAGAGATAAAGTAGAGAGCTTTTCCCAATTTGATCCCCAAAGTGTAATCTAATTTCAATCCCGTTCTAAAAATGATTTGATCTTCTATTTATACTTCACCCATAGGCTGCCAAAGTGGTCAGAAATTGTACACAAGGCTAATCATTTGAGTGCACCACGGACGGACAGCCTTTTAAGAAGACTTTATTATGAGAATTGAAGAATTTTCCTCCCGTACTCGATCGATCGAGATGATCAGCAACTCGCAATTCAGCTCCCTTTCTGCTCTTCCCTCTTCTCCAAAGACTTCATAAATGCTTTAAAGTCAATGTGAAAATTGCAGCACCAAGCACAAACATTCAAATAAAAGGAAACAATATTTTTCCTCCCAGGTACAAGGAACAAGTAACGGGTTGTGAGCCAGCAAAGCCCATTTACAGATGAAAAAAATCCGCGTTGTTGATGATTGAACCTGCTCCCTTTTCCTAACAGTTTGTACTTTAAACCATCACCATAATCCACAAGAATCGAAATATGGCCAAAACTAAATAGGGTTCTCCCCTTCTTTAATTAATGGTTGATCTTGGTCTATTTGTAATTAAAGATGTTTTCTAGTGTCCCAGTTGTTTTATGAAAAAATCTAAGAACCTAATGGATGGAACTCATCCGCTATGGAAGATATTTGCCTTGCCTTGCGGAAGGAACCTTCTGTATTCAGTATGTAATTGAAATGTCAACACTGCTTATGGGCTTCCTGTTTTCCAACGCCATCGCAGTCGCCTTTTAGGACCATGCATTTTTTATTTATTTTTACCCTTTCAAACAGAAAACAACCACAAAGCAAACATTAACAACAATCCTTGGCCGCAAAGTGAAGAATATCGGCAAGAATAAAACCAAGAACAATATCCATATGAATGTGAGAATGAGAGAGCTTCGCCAGAGCGTTAGCAACCTCATTGCTATTTCTATGGACATGGCTAAGATAAGAGAAAGAGAATCACTAAAACGCCATCTGAATATCAAAGCAAATTGGATGAGTATCAATTGCCTAGGAGCAACTCCCGTGACAGCATGAACCACACTCAAAGAATAGCATTCAAACCAAACTTGAACAAGTGAAGATGATAGAGCCCAAAGAACAGCTTTGCGAAGACATATAGCTTCAGCAACGGTTGCACTTGCAGCAGAAAAGGAGAAAAAATCACCGCCTGCAAAATATGGCCCAAAAAATTGCGAAAGACAGCGCCGCCACCCCCCTTTTGGGATGAAGAGAGAAAAGATGCATCAACAGAGCATGCATGGGCGAAGCTAGAAACAAAAATTTGAACTTTAAATTTTTGTATTATTGGACTCATTTTTATCTTTTACTCTTTTCTTCTTTTATCTTGCTCTTGGTGGCTTTATATGGATTCTATCAGCTGAAATATATGATATATATGTGAGTTGTGCAACGAAATATATTGTGAAAAGTTTAAGTTTTTATTTAGAGAAGATTTATTCAGTGTTTCTCTATTCAATTAACTCTACTAAAATTACCTAAAATTATTACTAGATAACAATCACTTCCCCACTGATCAACATAAAGCCCTCCAGCTAGAAAGAGAACAAGCAACCTAATTCAACAATTAGAAAAAGGGAAAGAAAATACGGATTTTAAATAAATCTCCCAAAATCAGCGAAATTAGAGAATCCCTACCAAATATGGATTCCACTACATAGCTCTTACATATTCCAAAGCCCTGCCCCTACAAAACTAAGTAAATCACATAAGTGCCCCAACTAAAGTTCCCACATTTCTATCTATTGACAAAATATCCCACATAATTAAATAGACCAATTATATAAACAAGGACAAAACCCACCTAAGCATAATTAAATAAAGAGAAAAATATAGGATATCACATGGTAATCTTGCAAAAGCAGTTAACCAAATGAAAATTCAAGGTGTTACAGACATTTTCCCCCGGGGGGTAGGGGGGGGTGTTAAATTGCAAAATTCAGGGCGCTCGAGATATTCTTGACTTTTGGGGTTTTAGTATAATTATGTAAAATAATTATTTTTAGTCTTAGGGACCATTTTGCAATTTAATTTGGAAGATATTTTGGAAAATGACCTTTTTGCAATTTTCAGAAAATGTGACAAGTGTCACACTCTTATGGTTCCACTTGTTGATCTTGTGGTGGAACCACTTAGAGGCTTAATCTTGTGACATATGGAGGGTAGGGATTCACCCATTTGTTAGCCTAGGATTGGACCACTTATTGGCTTCGATGAATGACAAGTGTAGGCTTAGGATTAAACATAGGAAGGAGCCTTAGATGAATGACAAGTGTATGCACTATATTTAGTCTTGCAATTGTATGTGTATGAGAGGTAGTGCAAGAGCACATAGTGAGTGGAGAATCCAACCACATTTAGCTTAGGGTTTACACCTAGATTTCATTCCATCTCTTTCCTCTCAAACCCTAACTTAGCCACCATTAGAGCAAAGCTTGATTTAAGGCTTTTGACTTCATTTTTGGCCACCTTCCACTCACCCTAGACCTTTGAGCTTGGAATACTTTAACTTCCTCCCACTCTCCTCTACATAACCCTAGTTTTGTTTTCCATTTTAAGTTTGGTTACTTTGGATTATAGAGCTTCAATTCTCTATTGAGGTAGGGGTGGTTGTATGTTTATCATCTTTGGGTTTTATATATATTGGAGCTTTATATATATTGATTACATGCCTTTTAAATTCTTGTACTTGCATGTAAATAGAGATTTTATATGCTTGACCTAGGATTTGTGGATTAAAACATGTATATGACTATTAAAATATATAGGTAGGTTATTGTTTAATGATTTGCCTAATACTTGTGATTTCATTGAGGGTCGATTATGAATATCTTGAAATTGCACTTATGTTGTTAAGTAATGGAAATTTTATTGAAAGTCTAGTATGAAAATCTTGTATGTAGCACTTGTAATTACTTGTAAGTAAATTACTATATTGCATGGTTAGTAATTGTGGCCTACATTAATATTAAATTTATATAGCATAATGTGTAGTATTATTAGCTTGCCACTCTAGACATGCAACCTTAGGGCATGGTTTGTGTGGTTTCACCCTACTTGTGTTTGGTAGGTAGTTTCATGCATTGAGATTATATAAATGTCATGAACTTGTTGATTTTTGGAAGCTTGTGAGGATATGAAATGTTGATGGCTAGGGTTTGGCTCTAGTACAGAGGATAAGAATTCTCCTAAATCATAGTGCGCATTAGGTTGTACCTTGTGGGTCGTAATTACCCGAAATAACTTGTATGGTTTCGTGGCCACATATCCTAGTCTTTCCATTATTTGATTTCGCATTATATTCCAAGTTGTAAATCATGGATTTCTTGTAACTTGTGATTTGGTGATTTTAGTTTCAATGCGGTTAGTGTACTTGTTCACGTATACTTAGATGCTATGTGGTTATCATTTTAAATATTTGTATAGCTTGAGATGATCCCTTAGAGTACCTTGAGAACATAAACGTTAGGTGGAATGTACTCTTGCGATGATCTATGTTTGGTATACTTGAAACTATATGGTATACGCATGCACCACATCCTACGAGTAACTTGATTATTCACCCTAGTTGTTTGGGTTATTTTGCAGCTAAAGAACCTTTCTTTTGGGATGCATCACATCCCTAAGTTGCTGTGATGCCTTGGAGTATTTTTGTTGTGTTAGAATATGCACTTGTTAGCATATCATGCTCCATTTTGGTTTATTTTGACAAAACATGTATTTAATGTTCAATCCATGTAATGTGTACTTAAGTGCACCTTTTGACACTCTTTGGATGTATATGTAATGAGGCCAAGGGCCAAAGACACTTATATGACATGTATGCTAGTTTAACTTCATTGTTGCCTATGGAAGATATGTGATTTAATGCATTAAAGAGTCATATTTTGCATATGACATGCCATGAGACCGTAGGCCATTGTAGCGCATCTACTACATCATATTAAGCATGCGTACATGTTTATTTTGGCACACAATACCATTCTTGATGGAATAAAAACTTAAAGTTGCATTTTCTTGAGTTTTTATCCCTTTTTGATCAAGGGGCATTTTGGGTATTTCACAGTGTGTTTTTTCATTTTCGTTCACA